GGCCGGTAGAGCCCTTTTGACCTTTTGTAATTCCGGGCCGGTAGAGCCCTGTTATTTTTCAATGTAGTCTACTTTGATTTTCGTCAAATATTGTGTATTCTCGAACGAACAGATAACAAATTAAATCATGCCGAGTGTAGTTTTTAGACGAACGTATCGTGTGGACAACGTTAAGTCACGTCCTTAGCCGAGAGGGTTTCTCTGGAGGGGAGACTTGTAATTTGTAATAAAAGCCACATCCTTGGCCGAGAGACATCTCGGGAGGGAAGACTTGTGATTTGGAATGAAAGCCACATCCTTAGCCGAGAGACATATCGGGAGGGAAGACTTGATAAAATTGAAATAAAAGCCACATCCTTGGCCGAGAGACATCTCGGGAGGGAAGACTTGTCATTTGGAATGAAAGCTACATCCTTGGCCGAGAGACATCTCGGGAGGGGAGACTTGATAAAATTGAAATAAAAGCCACATCCTTGGCCGAGAGACATCTCGGGAGGGAAGACTTGATAAAATTGAAATAAAAGCCACATGCTTGGCCAAGAGACATCTCAGGAGGGAAGATGATAAAATTGCAGAAATGTAAAACAAGTCATAGATAGTTGAACTGTCTTGTTATTGATGAGTGGATACCTCGTTAAAAACCTTGCCGGCCAAAAGCCTCTTTTCACAATTTTTTAAGAGGAAAAAAGACCGGTTCAAGGAAAAGAGTGCACCGTAAGACATTTACATTACATAATCAAATTCTAACTGTCATAAGTCTTCAGATGAGTGGAATTCCATGTCCGAGGGATCACCTTGCCGGACAATTCTTCCAATTTGTACGCGTCGTTATTGAGAGCGTGTCAGACTCGGAACGGGCCATCCCAATTTGCCGCCAGCTTTCTTTCAGTTGGGTTGCGTCGGGCCGAACCGGTTGCCCTCCAAACGAGATCACCTTCTTGGAAATTCCGCGGCTTCAACTTGGAGTTAAATCGCCGAGTCATTCGCTGTTTACACGCTTCGGCTACAATTTGGGCTTTCTCTCGGACTTCATCTAAGACGTCCAACTCGGCTCGGATTGCATCATCATTGGACTCTGCGTGAAAGTGCGTCTGTCAGAACGAAGGTTCACCCACTTTGACTGGTATCATGGCATCCGTGCCGTATGCTAATCGGAACGAGGTCTCTTTTGTGGTTGATTGAGGGGTGCATCTATATGCCCAGAGGACTTCAGGGAGCTCTTCGGCCCAGGCTCCTTTAGCTGAGCCGAGCTGTTTCTTAAATTCGGTGAGAATGACTTTGTTGGCTGCTTCGGCCTGTCCGTTGGACTGCGGGTGCTCTACCGACGTGAACCGGTGCTAAATGCCGAGGCTCTCGAGGAAAGTATTAAACTTTTTATCCATAAATTGAAGTCCGTTGCCTGAGATGAGTGCATGTGGGGGGCCGAACCGGGTGATAATGTTCTTCCATACGAACTTCTGGACATTAGTGGCTTTGATGGTAGCAAGCGGCTCGGCCTCTATACAATTAGTGAAATAATCCACTCCCACTATCAGGAACTTCACCTGTCCCTTTGCCATAGGAAACGGTCCGAGTATGTCTATGCCCCACAAAGCAAACGGCCAAGGGGAGCTGATATTGTGCAATTCGGCAGCCGAGGAATGGATGAGAGTCCCATGTTTTTGGCACTGAACACATTTTTTTAACAAATTCGGCGCAATCAGATTTCAGAGTCAGCTAGTAATAGCCGGCTCTGAGTACCTTGGTGGCGAGTGTTCTTCCTCCCGAGTGGGATCCACAGATACCTTCGTGGATCTCTCTGATGACATAGTCGGCTTGTTGCAAGTTGAGGCATTTCAATAAAGGTGCGGAAAACCCTCTTCTGTATAGTTCTCCACTCACGACGGAGTACCGAGCGGCCTGCATCCTCAGCTTCCTAGATTCGATCGGATCATTTGGCTCTGAGCCGTTCACAATAAAGTTCAAAATGTCATTCATCCAGGATTTCGGAGCTCCGTCCACCGGCATACAATCTTGTAGGACGCTTGGGGTGGGCAACTCCAGATGTATTGTCGACCGAAGTTGTCCCGGCTTGCAACTACTTGCTAGCCGAGCCAACTGGTCGGCTCTCTTGTTACTCCCATGCGGCGTGTGTTTAACTTGTATCTCTTGGAACTGGTTGCTCATCCCCGGAAGAGATGGTAATATTTAAGCAGATTGGCATCCTTAACTTGAAAATTTTCGTTCACCTGTTCCGCGACAACCTTTGAATCGGTCCAGCACGTGATTTTTGTAACCCCCATCTTGGCTGCCAATCTTATTCCGGCCAATAAGGCTTCGTATTCGGCCTGGTTGTTGGATGCTCGGAAGCCGAAATGCAGTGATTGTTCCAAGGTAATGTCGGACGGGCTCTCCAAGATGATCCCGACACCACTGCCTTGGTCATTGGAGGAGCCGTCCACGTGCATTGTCCAAGTGCTATCTTCAAAGTGGCCGAGGGGGGATGGGTCATTGATGAAGTCAGCTAGGCTTTGTGATTTGATGGCTCCTCGGGGTTCGAAACGGATGTCGAACTCGGATAATTCAATTGACCATGCCATCATTCGGCCGACCAATTCTGGTTTTCGTAGTACTTTGACGATTGGACAGTCGGTTCGGACCACCACTGTATGACTCTGGAAGTATTGTCGAAGGCGCCTAGCAACATATATGAGTCCTAACGCTACCTTTTCCAAGAGTTGGTATCGGCGTTCGGCATCTTGAAGCACTCGGCTTATGAAGTATATGGGTTGCTGTTGGCCGTCTTGTTCTTGTATCATACCGGTGCTTATGGCCTCGGCAGAAACTGCCAAGTATAGGACTACTTCTCAGTCGGGGGTTGGCTTGGCCAGCACCAAAGGGGTACCGAGCCGTTCCTTGAAAAGCTGAAAAGATGCTTCGCACTCGTCTGTCCATTGAAATCGGTTCACCTTTTTCAGAAGACCTAGAATCGGCTTGGAAGTCCCGGCCATACATGGTAGGAAGCGAGACAATGATGTTAGTCGACCGGCTAACTTTTGAACCTCTTTCAAGTTTGACGGGCTTCTCATGTCGATAATAGCTTGACACTTGTTCGGGTTGGCCTCAATACCTCGGCTGGATAACATGAAACCCAGGAACTTACCGCCTGAGACACCGAATACACATTTGTCAGGATTGAGTCTCATCTGGTGCCTCCGAAGTGCATGGAAAACTTCAGCAAGGTCGGCTACATGGGAAGGTGTGTCGGCCGACTTGACCACCATATCATCTACATAAACCTCCATGTTTTTCCCAATCTGATCGCCAAAGATCTTGTCCATGAGTCGTTGATACGTGGCCCCAGCATTCTTCAGGTCGAAAGGCATTACTTGGTAGCAGTAATTGGCAGATTCCGTGACGAATGCCGTTTTGTCCTCGTCTCGGGGATGCATTCGGATTTGATTAAAACCCGAGTATGCATCGAGAAATGTCAAGAACTTGTGGCCAGCCGCGCCGTCAACCAATCGGTCTATGTTCGGTAATGGATAGGCATCCTTGGGACAGGCTTTGTTCAAATCTGTGTAGTCAGTGCACATTTGCCACTTCCCATTCGCCTTTTTGACCATGACAACGTTGGCCAACCATGTTGTGTACTGGATTTCTCGGATGAATTCTGCTTCTAAGAGCTTGGATACCTCTGCTTCAACTGCCTTCTTTCTCTCTTCCCCCATTTTTCTTTTTCGCTGGGCAACCGATTTTGCCTCTCGGCACACTGAGAGTTTGTGACATAGGAAATTCGGGTCGATACCTGGCATATCGGCCGACCGCCACGCGAACAGGTCTTTTTTTTTCTAACGACTTGCCCGATTTCGCGCCTTTCTGCCTCGGACAGGTTAGAGCCCAAGTAGGTCACGTGTAGGTCGGTCGGTCCGATAACAATAGGGTGTCGGTCTTCAATCGGCTCGACCCTCTCGTCCTGCTCCATTCGAGGGTCGAAGTCCACAATTGTGTCAGGTTCTTGCGCCACTGTGTGTACACAGTTTACTTCGCGAGGTTCGACCATTTCGAGACGAGGTAGCCGTAGACTGGCGAAATAGCATTCTCTAGCTGCCTTTTGATCGGCATGGATTGTGATGATTCGGCCTGAATCCGATGGGAATTTCATGGCTAAGTGAGTAGTTGACAAAATCGCGCCGAGTTTGTTGAGGGAAGGTCTGCCGAGGAGGATGTTGTACGACGTGTTGGCGTGTACGATGATGTATTTGATCGAAATATCTCTGGCTTCGGCTCCGTCGAAACAAAAACATGTGGATAGCTTGATGTATCCCTTGGTTTGAACGTGCTCACCAGAGAATCTGACCAGGGGCTCGTTATACGGGATCAACTCAGCCTCCGGGATGTCGAGCTGTTTGAACGTGTTCTAGTAAAGGATGTTGGCCGAGCTTCCCTGGTCGACCAACGTCTTCCGAACTATGCAGTTGTGTATCTCGACACTGATGCCGAGCTCGTTATACAGTTCTGATGACTCGCAAGTGTCTCTTTTGTGCCGAGGAGGTTGAGCCTCCGCCTGCGAATCCACCAGCAATGGTATTGATGACCCTTCGGGGTTGGGTTATCGGTTCCTCTTCTTTTTGGTCTCTCGACCGGCTACGTTCCCTGTAGGGGCGCCTGTTGGACCTCTCTCGGTCGGGTTGATCCCGGCGATGTCGGCGGTCGTCGTATCGGGAAGACTGAGGCCGGTCGACAAAGCGCTGGAGTTGGCCTTGTTTGATCAAGTCTTCAATCTTGTCTTTTAAGGCTGCGCACTCCTCAGTCGAGTGGCCCCAGTTTCTGTGGTACTTGCAAGACTTGGTTGTGTCGGCACGCGGAGGGGTCGAGGCTCGCTTCGGCACGGCCATGACCTTTGATACGAGTGCCTGGTCTAAGACAGCTGATCGACTTATGTTCAATGGGGTGTAATGAGAGTATCTCGGTCCGCGGACAGGTTTTTCTCGGGAGACGAGTTCTTTCTGGTGGCTCCGCTAGTTGCTCTCAGTTGGCTTATCGGTTTTGATAGTTATCTCCGCCCTTGCTTGGTAACGAAACTCAGCTAGTTCTTCCATCTGCATGTATTTGTCGGCGCGCCGACGCAAGTCATCCATGTCAGTTGGTGGTTTCTTGCAAATGCTGTTGGCAAAGGGTCCTGGTTTCAGGGTGGTGGTGAGATGGTGGAGAGCCACCGCGGGATTCAGGTCTTGGATTTTGAGTGTTGCCTTGTTGAATCGGCTCATGAATGTTCGAAGGGACTCTTTCTTTTCTTGCCAAATGCTTACCAAAGCCAAAGAAGTGAGCTGGTGTGGTCGGCTCGTAGCAAATTGGATAGTAAATTGAGATGCCAACGTGTTAAAGGAGTCAACTGAGTTAGCCAGGAGCCTTGTGAACCAACTCAGTGCTCGACCTTTCAACGATGTTGGAAAAATTCGGCACAAGGCGGCGTCGTCGGTAGTGCTGAGGGTGACTTGAGTCAGGAAAATGTCAACATGCTCGTCGGGATCGGTGGTTCCGTCATACTTATCTAACGGGAGGGACTTCCAGTGGTCGAGGAGGGAGGATTGCATGATGTTGGGGGTGAAAGGGTGTCGGTGTGCTCCGGTCAGCGTGGCGTACGCAGGTCGGCCGGTTACCTGGGCAGCCGAGGCGTGGTTCCCCGGGGCGACAGTGGAAGCGTGATGGAGAGAAGTATGATGTCCGAGCGAGTGGAACGACCCCTGGGTGTGAGTCGTCTCGGAGGGTTTCCACGTGAGATCTTTGTTTTGATTTTTCAGGGCGGCATTCTCTTCCCTCAAGGCGGCCATCTCGCGAGCGTCTCTCTGTCGTTGCTGCTTCATGGCGGCCATTTCCTCCTTCAATTGTTGTACCATCTCGGCCATGTTGGTCTCGTCAACCGTCTCGGCATTGTTCGCTTCGGATTGGTGCTCGTCTTCGGATCGGTGGTCTTCAGTGTGTGTTCTCCTGGTCTTTGCCATGATGTCTTCGAAATAGTACTCAGTCCATCTTCTTAAAAAGCTATCGGTTCGGCCCCACGGTGGGTGCCAAAATGTGCCTGCAAAAGGGCACACTCGTAATCTTCAGGTGGGTAGAGGGCCGAGCGAGAGCTTCTGGTGGATCTTCCGAAAAGGGAAGAGGTACCTGCAAAAGGCACTCCGACGCTCAAGTCAGGACAAGCACGAATCTCTAAGGTAATAATTGAACAGTCACATACCTCGTTACGTGTGACCTATTTATAATACCTGACATGGGCCTCAGCATGGTGGGCCTTCTCTGACACTTACCAAATTAGGTAATACGATGTTAATCGGCGGGTTATGCCTTAATCGTGCTTTGTCCCTTGTTAATCGTGATCGTCATTCTAATCATCCTGTCTCTATTGACCTTCAGCCGAGCTGATACGGAACGGCCGAGACGTCGTTCTCGGCGTCTGGCCGGGCCGATAAGGGACGAATGTGGTTCTCGGTCCCTTGCCGAGCCGAAGTGATATATGAACTGCGTCAATATCTGATAGGACATGACGTGCCGGTCCACGTGGCCGATCGACGTGGCCGATAGGACCCTTCCGGTACAAGAGGGTACCAGTACAGTTTTTTATATTTATATTTTAATAATTTATTTAAATAATATTTATGATATTTTATTCTTTTAATTTTTAAATTATTTAATCATTTTATTTTTATTTTATATATTCTAATTTATTTGTAATAATATTATTATATATTTAAATAGTTTAATTTTAATAATTTTTTAAGTATATTTTTATCTTTTCACTTAAAATTTTTGAATTTCTATATTTTAATTTTAATAATTTTTTAAGTATATTTTTTGTATTTTTGTCTTAAATTTTTGAATTTCTATAGTGTAATTTTAATAATTTTTATTTCTACTATTTATTAATTTTTTCTTTTTTTTTAATATTTTTTAATATTATTGAAATCTTATAATTTTAATTTCTATAATTTTATCTTACTTTTTATTTTATAAGTATAATTTAAATTATTCATTTTATAATTAAATTAATTTTTTAAAAATCTTCTATAAGTTTATATAAAAAAATATATTGAAACCCCTCAATCTTTGAGGGTACGGTAGTAACTCTCTTTTTTTTTTTTTATTGAAAAATTGTTTTTTTAGTTCTTAGTACTTAAATAACATTGGTATTTTAAAATTTTTAAAATAATACTAATATTTTTTTATATTAGTATTTCACTACAAGAAAAATGTAAATTATCGACGGATAATTTTCGAAGGATATAAATCTGTCAGAAAATTTATATTTTCGACAGAAAAAAAATTTGTCAAAAAATTTATATTTCCGACGGATAGATCTATCGGTAATTTTCGACGGATAGAAATCTGTCGAAAAATTTATATTTTCGACAGATATATCTGTCGGTAATTTCCGATGGATACAAATCCGTCAGAAAGTTTATATTTCCAACGGATAATTTTTGACAGATACAAATCCGTCGAAAAATTTATATTTCCGACGGATATATCCTTCACTAATATAAATTAAAAGTTATTAAATTTCATCAATCCAATTATAAATTTTACTAATAATTAATATATAAAAAATTGATTAGCTTTGAAATAAATTATTTGCAAACAATATAGTTGAAAAATTAATTATTTTAAATTATTTAACTAGAATCTTATTGACAATTTACTATATAATCATGATATTTTTGTATAACTAATATCTGATTTTAAATTTGATATGAAAATATTATGATATAATTAGATAAGATTTTAAATTAGTATTTTATTAATGGTCGATAATTAGAAAATAAAACAAGGATAAATATATTTTTTAAATTTTATATCTTAGAATTAAGATGAATAAATTTATTAAGTTAATTAATAATTTATTTAAAATGTTAAAAATTTAATTTATAAAAATAATATTTTAAAAGAGAGGGTTATAATAACACTGGTGTAACTTTTACTAAGTATTACACCGCTCAATAACTTTATATTAAATGTGAATTTTATAAATTCAACCGTTAGATTGAAAGTTTTTTACTCTTAGATCATGTATATAAAATTTTATATTAATTCAAGATGATTTGATACTTCATTCTTGTAAAAAAATTGACCTAATATACATACATATATATATATATATATATATAAATATACA